CAGGAACTCACCGAGTTTGTTATCATTGAGGTGAAGAATATGCCGGGAAACAGGCAATGTTGTGACTGCGGAGCCCCAGGTAGGTTCGGAAATGCTGACTGCTCTTGACTGTCGTAGGAACTGGTTGATACAGCTCCTAAATTGCTTGCAGGAAGTCATGGCATTTTGTCAGGTTCTGCATTTGCAGTCTATGTTCACTCAGCTAGTGGGACACTGTGTCAAGCACTATTCAGCACTGACCATTGGTGTGCTTTCTCTCCCCCACCCCCATGTAGGGTTAACAGCCCTGCACAGGCAAATATTGAGACATGGCGGGAGGTGCTTGGGAAGGATGGCGTTTCAAAGGATGTGATGTCTAATCCTCTGTAATGCTCTAGGAATTCCCCCAAACTCTATGGTAGTGACCATAGAGATGCAGGGATTTGTAGAGCATCATCTGAAAGTGACCTCACATTCTCCAGCCCTCTATGCAGAAGCAATGTCACTTCCAGGCAATGTCACTTCTAGGAATCCCTGCAATCTTTGTGGTCTTTACCATAGAGAATGGTGATGCTGTAGGAATTTCTCCATGGACTACCCCCCATTTCCATTTTTTCTCCTGCTCTTCACATCATTGATAGTGGGAGGATGGGCCCAAGTATGGTTGTTTGCCATCACAGAGAGCGAAGTGGCAAGCCTGCCCCCATCTCAAACCACCATGAAGGGGGAAATACTATACCAGGATACATCCTTTCTTTTCTGATAAGGTTTGGCATGCTGTCCAGCAGGATCATATCTCAAGGGCAATTCACACATTAGAAAGTCTTTGAGAACTGTTGATCAGACATATGGTTGGGAGCTCCTGCTTGGAACTTCTGAGCCTTCACATGGTTGCCCTTGTTTGTAAGCCACCCTGAGCCCGTTTGTGGGGAGGGCGGGATAGAAATGCAATAATAAATAAATGAATAAATATGTAAGTTTCCCCAGTGGGCTCAGGACCGGGTCTAAGAAGAATTGAGTCTATAGCCTGCCTTTCTCTTGGAGACTCAGGTTGGGTTACATAGTGTAAGGCTAAGACTATGCAATCAAATGGCATGAGACATCCAACAAACAATGCAATAGGATTAGGATCACAAAAATGAGAAATGGTGCAAAAAAAGCATCAGACATGATCTTTCATAAACAATGCAAAAAGAGTGGAATTACAAAAGTAGAAAGTAATGCAGTACGAGCAAGGTAATAAATAAATAAACAGTGAAAGAGATTACACTCCTGGTCACTCCATAAAAGCACCCTTCTCTCTTTCATTATACTACAGCCTTAATTCCCTTAATCAAAAGTCTTTGTGGACTTTGTAGTGTGCGAATCAGCCCTCACTCCTTGTACAAATCTCTTTGACTCCTCAAGGCTGTAAAGCAGTGTCCCATCTACTTTTTTTTTGGGGGGGGGGCATTCGCCCCATGGGGAGTGAGTTGAAAAGAGAAGGAAATGTCACTTACACAACACCACTGAGTGCAGCTGCTTTCTTGCAGATCCCACATGGCTTTCTACCAACCTTGGCATCCTGACGTGTATAGAGTGCTCAGGAATCCATCGTGAGTTGGGGGTCCACTACTCTCGTATCCAGTCCCTGACCTTAGATGTCCTCACCACTTCGGAATTACTGGTGAGTATTTTCTCTGTGAGCTGGGTGGGGGGAACTATCCCCTGTGGTTCATTAACTCTTAAACGTGATAGACGCCAGAATAGATACTGTTTGGAGCCAAAAGCTCCGAGGTTTGCAGAAATTCCAGGGGAAAAAAACAATATGTAAGATTCAGGTTTGCTTGCAAATGAGATTTTAATAAAGCATTAAACTTACAGAAATAGCAGGCTTCAATTCACTGGACCTCGAGGATACAGAGCAAAGTCAGCCAGAATTTGAGACGAGATACATAGCTAAAACAAAACTCCTTATACCCTAATTGCTGGCTACGAGTCAAGAATAGCATAATCAAAGCTACATCCTAGACACTGAAAGATCTTGCAACTGGTTCTCAGTGGCAGAGGAAAACAAGTCAGTTTTCTACATGAGAACTTGGGAGAGTGTGAACAAAAACATTCTCTTGGGAATGGCCTGACGGCAATTCTCCAAAGAAACAGAGGTCAGGAACTAGCAGAACTCCAAGATGGCATAACAAAGGCATAAAACTTCCCTATAACTGACAACAGACTTATGGGTCTATATAATTACTGTGATTATCCTTGGGACCTCTTTGGTAGATGGTAATGATGATATGTATTTAATTTATTTATCTATTTATCAAATTTATACCCTGCCCTCCCAGCCAAGGCCAGCTCTCCAAGGTACAGGCATTATTCCTGAAGAATTTGTCAAGGTGAATAAATGGGCAAGCAAGGAAATCCATCTATCTTTAAAAACAATTAACCCCTAGTGCTTTCATCGACAGCTCGTCCTTTTCTTGATGCTGTTTGAAGTGAGTTAGAGTTGGTCGGTATTACTTCCTTTAACTTTTTCCCTGCTCTGGTAGCAAAAAGTCATTTGTCTTTTAAATTGTCAAGTCCTTCAGGCAGAATGTGTTGTTCATTTGTTAAAGTCTCAATTAGGGGATCAGAAAAATTAGTTTTTTTGGAATTCAGGGGCTTGCCTTGCAATGGCTCGTCTCCTTTCTCCAGGGCCGGGTACAAAGGGTGGCGCTGGGGGAACAGCTTTCCCGAAGGCACCCACTTGATTGTGGAGTGCCTCAGGGGGCTGTGCTGTCCCCAATGTCATTTAACATCTATATGTGCCCCCTTGCCTAGATTGCACGGAGACATGGGCTGGGATGTCACCAGTACGCTGATGACACCCAGCTCTATCTGCTGTTGAGCGGGCGGCCCAACTCCAAACCAGAAGATCTTGACCGGGCGTTGCAAGGCTGGTTGGCTCAGGCTGAGCCGACTGAAATTGAATCTGTCAAAGACGGAGGTCCTGTGCCTGAGTCGGGGCGGATCAAGGATAGGGATTTCACTCCCGACCTTCGATGGGGCGCCACTAGTGCCAGCACCGGAGGTTAGGAGTCTGGGAGTGCTCCTGGATCCCTCCTTAACAATGGAGGCCCAGGTAGCAGCCACTGCCAAGTTGGCCTTTTACCATCTTCGGCTGATTAAGCAGTTGGTTCCCTTCCTTGAACGCAACGACTTGGCAACGGTGATCCATGCGATGGTCACCTCGAGGGTGGACTACTGTAATGCTCTCTACATGGGGCTGCCCTTATTGCAGATTCGGAAGCTACAGCTGGTGCAAAATGCTGATGGGCCTCCCAATATGGGAGCACATTCAGCCTGTGCTGAAGGCATCACACTGGCTACCGATAGCATACCGAATTCGCTTTAAGGTGCTGGTAAGAACCTTTAAAGCCCTTTATGGCCAGGGACCTACATACCTGAGGGACCGCCTTTCCCCACATGTCCCCCAGAGAGCACTACGATCAGGGTCTCAACACCGACTCACCCTCCCCGGACCTAAGGATGCCAGGCTAGCTTCAACCAGGGTTAGGGCATTTTCGGTGGTGGCTCCTCTCTGGTGGAACGAGCTCCCAGAGGAGATCAGTGCCCTGCAGGACCTTATGCAGTTCCACAGGGCCTGCAGCAAGACGGAGCTGTTCCGCCACGCATTCAGTTAGGAGCTGCCCTGGAGACAATGCCCTGCCCCCTTGAAATCTTGAGGCAGCCTGAGCCACCTGCACAATATTAGATCGGGACCATCCACCAGGATGGCATGGAAGTTGAGCGCCATCCCTAATGGAATTTTAAACCAGTATCTGCATAATGGTCTTATTTGGATGTTAGCACCTTTTAATGTCGTAATTGTTATATGGTTTTATGACTTTTACTATTTATTGTTATCATTGTTGTTTTACCGTGTTGTAAGCCTCCCTGAGCCGGCCATGGCTGGGAGGGCGAAATATAAATATAATAAATAAATAAACAAATAAAATATATCAGTTAGGTTTATGTTCGGCTGGACGCATGTTTCTTCTGGTTTCTTGTTGATAGAAACCTGATTCTCCCCAGCAGGTGAATCAACTACACCAAGAGAATGGACTATTTTTAAAGACTCGATTATTATTCTATATTTTAGTAGCATTTATGTTTTTAAAAAAATCGTCCTAGAAATTTTTTTAAAACTGAAAGTTTAAAAAATTAACACTACCCTTTGTTGAAAAAAGGAGCAGGGGAGAGAGCCAATAGAAGTCAAATCTGTAATAAAAAAACTTAAGTGGTTTTTCACACTCCAGATGGTCTTCCAAGAGGGACAGTTCCCATGTAAGGGAAAAGCATGTATTGACACTTTATTGTCACGTAAAGATAATTCCATGTCTACGTTTTGATTGTCAGTATTCCATAATTTGTTTTCTGTTTTTAAATTCAGAGAGGCACTTTGGTGTACAACTTCCCTTGTAAAGACTGAGTGTAGTTTATCGATACTATTAGCCATAGACATCAAGACCTCAACAGTTTTTTTGGATAGTTTCAGAAATTAATAATGTTTCTGTTGTTAATAAATTATAATCTGGACTACTATTAGTCACAAAAGCATCTGGCTGTAAATTAGTTTGAGAGCTTTGAGAACTTTGAGCAAATCATCCTGTTATTTTCTGCCTGGACTCCCATTGATCTTGGTGCTAGAGTAGTGCTAGCTGAGTCCACCATGTTATCCAGTGCACAGTTTATAAATGAATCAAGACTATTTTTATCTCTGAGACTGTCTTCAAAATAGTTGGCTTTTCCTTCACCGCCGTTGAGTTTAGATGGAGCTGGAGCATCAGGGGCTAGAACAATATATTTATTACTAGTTGGAACATTCAATAAATCATCAATTTTCCGCTGCTTAGGAAGGGAGACCTCAGGAGTGGAATCAATTAATAGGGCATTTGTGACCCATTAAAACAACAACAACTAAATATAAAAAGTGATATAAAGATTATATGCTGAACTATCCCCTCCCCCCAACGCAACTACTCATTTCACAGAAGACCCTTCAAATTAGCCTCACAAGAGCTGAGCAAGCTAGCTAATTAAGACTATTGTGGGCTGAAAAAAGATAAAAATAGACTCACTGCCAAACATGTATGCAAATATATATATTCCACCTGAATTATTTAAACTTGAGTCAGATTGGTGGGCTTCCTTCCTGACACCATTATTTACTGAGGTAAATCAAACCGGACAAATACCTGATAGTTGGAAATTAGCAATTACAAGAAAGAAGACCCGCGAAACTTGCGGCGGGGGGGCAGGGGAGCTCAAAACTCAGCAGGCGGAGGAGGAGGAACCAGCAGGAGCAGGTAAGCTTTCCCCCCCATCCTGCCGGTTCCTCTGTCTCCTCCCCCCCCTCGATCGCC